TGACAAAACAGCCTGTGGTAAGATAACTTTAAAGCTTATTATATTCAATATTATTGTTATGTTTTAAATTTGAATTAACTGTGCTATAGAATGAAAACCGAGGACATTAGTACTCACAATAACTTCTAAATAAGGTAGTTCAAACGAATTGCTGTTTAAAGATTTCCTAATTCTTCAGAGCCATGTCCAGCTGGAAGCTACCAGAACATTGAGATGAACACATGTAAAGAATGTCCTGATAACACGATCAGTTCAGAAGGAGCAGCCTTGTGTACAACTTGTGAACTTGGCCAGGAACAAAACTCAGGGAGAACAAAATGTGGTAAGAATTGTTAACAAGAATCGAGCTGAGATGATTATATCTATATTATATAGATGGGCAAAGATAGGCTAAGGGTTAAGACAGGATAAGGATAAGGCGCCAGATAGGGCTTAAAATCTAGAAGGCAAATTTGTGGTACGAAAAGACAAGAACCGTAAGAGTCTGGGTGGTAATAATTCTATCAAAAAACCGTGGTTGTGAGGATATTTAATTTTTCACACATTGTTTTAAGTCTAATGTTATTGTAACACATCTAAACTGTACTAAAATACTTATATAATAACGATTTTCTTATCTTCCAATACGATTTGCCAGTTGTAACGTTATTAATCCCAGAGCCGTGTGGAGAAGGAAAATATCGGAATGGTGCTATGACAAGCTGTGAGTCATGTGACGCTGGATTGACACCAAACTCTGACAAAACAGCCTGTGGTAAGATAACTTTAAAGCCTATTATATTCAATATTATTGTTATGTTTTAAATTTGAATTAACTGTGCTATAGAATGAAAACCGAGGACATTAGTACTCACAATAACTTCTAAATAAGGTAGTTCAAACGAATTGCTGTTTAAAGATTTCCTAATTCTTCAGAGCCATGTCCAGCTGGAAGCTACCAGAACATTGAGATGAACACATGTAAAGAATGTCCTGATAACACGATCAGTTCAGAAGGAGCAGCCTTGTGTACAACTTGTGAACTTGGCCAGGAACAAGACTCAGGGAGAACAAAATGTGGTAAGAATTGTTAACAAGAATCGAGCTGAGATGATTATATCTATATTATATAGATGGGCAAAGATAGGCTAAGGGTTAAGACAGGATAAGGATAAGGCGCCAGATAGGGCTTAAAATCTAGAAGGCAAATTTGTGGTACGAAAAGACAAGAACCGTAAGAGTCTGGGTGGTAATAATTCTATCAAAAAACCGTGGTTGTGAGGATATTTAATTTTTCACACATTGTTTTAAGTCTAATTTTATTGTAACACATCTAAACTGTACTAAAATACTTATATAATAACGATTTTCTTATCTTCCACTACGATTTGCCAGTTGTAACGTTATTAATCCCAGAGCCGTGTGGAGAAGGAACATATCGGAATGGTGCTATGACAAGCTGTGAGTCATGTGACGCTGGATTGAAACCAAACTCTGACAAAACAGCCTGTGGTAAGATAACTTTAAAGCTTATTATATTCAATATTATTGTTATGTTTTAAATTTGAATTAACTGTGCTATAGAATGAAAACCGAGGACATTAGTACTCACAATAACTTCTAAATAAGGTAGTTCAAACGAATTGCTGTTTAAAGATTTCCTAATTCTTCAGAGCCATGTCCAGCTGGAAGCTACCAGAACATTGAGATGAACACATGTAAAGAATGTCCTGATAACACGATCAGTTCAGAAGGAGCAGCCTTGTGTACAACTTGTGAACTTGGCCAGGAACAAAACTCAGGGAGAACAAAATGTGGTAAGAATTGTTAACAAGAATCGAGCTGAGATGATTATATCTATATTATATATAGATGGGCAAAGATAGGCTAAGGGTTAAGACGGGATAAGGATAAGGCGCCAGATAGGGCTTAAAATCTAGAAGGCAAATTTGTGGTACGAAAAGACAAGAACCGTAAGAGTCTGGGTGGTAATAATTCTATCAAAAAACCGTGGTTGTGAGGATATTTAATTTTTCACACATTGTTTTAAGTCTAATGTTATTGTAACACATCTAAACTGTACTAAAATACTTATATAATAACGATTTTCTTATCTTCCACTACGATTTGCCAGTTGTAACGTTATTAATCCCAGAGCCGTGTGGAGAAGGAACATATCGGAATGGTGCTATGACAAGCTGTGAGTCATGTGACGCTGGATTGACACCAAACTCTGACAAAACAGCCTGTGGTAAGATAACTTTAAAGCTTATTATATTCAATATTATTGTTATGTTTTAAATTTGAATTAACTGTGCTATAGAATGAAAACCGAGGACATTAGTACTCACAATAACTTCTAAATAAGGTAGTTCAAACGAATTGCTGTTTAAAGATTTCCTAATTCTTCAGAGCCATGTCCAGCTGGAAGCTACCAGAACATTGAGATGAACACATGTAAAGAATGTCCTGATAACACGATCAGTTCAGAAGGAGCAGCCTTGTGTACAACTTGTGAACTTGGCCAGGAACGAAACTCAGGGAGAACAAAATGTGGTAAGAATTGTTAACAAGAATCGAGCTGAGATGATTATATCTATATTATATAGATGGGCAAAGATAGGCTAAGGGTTAAGACGGGATAAGGATAAGGCGCCAGATAGGACTTAGAATCAAGAAGGCATATTTGTGGTACGAAAAGACAAGAACCTTAAGAGTCTCGGTGGTAATAATTCTATCAAAAAACCGTGGTTGTGTGGATATTTAATTATTCACCTATTGTTTTAAATCTTATGTGATTGTAAAGTGTACTTTTATAATAACAATTTCTTATCTTCCACAACGATTTACCAGTTGTAATAATATATAACGTTATAATTCCAGAGCTGTGTGGAGAAGGAACATATCGGAATGATGCTATGACAAGCTGTGAGACATGTGACGCTGGATGGAAACCAAACACTAGCAAAACTGCCTGTGGTAAGATAACTTTAAATCTTATATTATTGTTATGTTTTAAATTTTATTTAACTGCGCTACAGAATGGTAAACTGTATACAGTATTTTAGACTTGGACCCCCGAGCAAACGATAGTATAGTTATATAAGAGGTTGCTTGAAAGGGTTCGGGTTGGGACAGGGAACTTAATCGCGGAACTGCGGAAGAGAACATAAGAAACCGTCAAAATAACCCTTATAATTGTATCACACAACCCAATTAATCAGTTAAACGTGATTTAATATGACATATCGACAGTGAGCTGTACGGGACTGAAGGCTGAGTGGAGAACTGCGATCAGAACAACAACACAGTTCCCAGTAGTCCCAGGAACCGTGGTGGAAGTGAATTGTGTTGAATCCAGAGCTCTCAATAAAGGGAGCAGCGAGGTGACCTGCACCTCAGGAACAGAATTTATTTTCGATTTTAATGAACCCGAGTGTATAAATACAGGTATTGTAGAAGCGAATATACTAAATGACCATGGCATCACTACAAAAGGATAACTACAACCAGGGTAGTATCATCATAACCGACGAAAGGGGGTAAAATAATGTCGTAAGGGGGAGAGTTGGTTAATGGTTATATTACTATAGAAAATTGATTTAATTTAATCTTACAATTGATGGGCTATAACAAATAGCTCAGATGATACTGCAATCTAACTTAGATATCTAAATAAGAAAATGTATGTTTGAGTTTTCCGGGTGGAAAAGTATGACAGCAGAAACCCAGTAGCCATAAGTTCCCAGAAAAGTTGTCGAGATGACCTGCTCTGAGATCTCAACACGACAGCATTTGACAAAGCAAAATAAAATGTAAAATCAATTTAAATTTAAAAATTTAACAAAGAACGCATTTTCATTATAACATAGTAAAACACTTTGTTTCATAAATATATTAAACTTAAACTAAAACACTTAATACAATCGTGAGATGTACGTAGAATCTAGCTCAATGTTACAACATAAACCCTTGATGATATAGTCTAGCAAATATTAGAAACTAACCGCAAATCCGGTGATTTCCATTTCAAATGACAAAAAACAGAAGATCTTAATAAGGTCTAATGATAATCTACTCCTTCTTAAGGGAGAACAAAGACGATGATTTATAAAGTCTATACGAATGTCGACAGAATAGAGATGAACAGGAAGAAAGAGAGATAATATCAGCTCCAATTAATCTAAGAGAATTCAAGGTTAGTAAGAAAAATGTCCACTTAAAATGTTTGTTTTTTTCGTCATATACTGCAACACTTCTATTGTGCTGAATTCCTAAAATTCAATTGCTGTTTAAAACACATTGCTATTATTTTCAATTTAACTGTGACCACATTTTACATTTTGAACATGAACCGTGTTGATTACCAGAAATTACATGTACAATCCAGAAATAATGTGTCACTCAGCAATCAAATCACCATTTCAGAATACAGATTACAGAAACGAGCTTCATGGCATTGATAAGTAATGAATACCCTAAAAAAAGACACATAACTCTATCACTGTGAGACACATTTGTGTTTTTAAACATTTATAAAAATTATTCAATGTTAGACACATATTATTTATAAATAAGTATTTAACATTAAACAAAATTCAAAATCTATTCAAAGATTTAACAAAGTTTTGATGTTTTGCTATTACATCATATGATAACACTTTATTTCAGACCCTTACTCAGCAGGAACGAACCTTTCAACGGAAAAAACAAAACGTGAACCCTTTGTAAACCTTTTTAGGCAGCTGTGAATAGTAAGTACAAGAAGTGAAAAATATTCTTCTCGTTTAAGTTTTTCTACAAACTGTTCAATAATTATTATTTCATGAAATGTGATCATTTCTACTTTTACGTTCCGAACACGAAATGTGGTGTTTACCAAAAACTACATAATAACAGATTTTTGTCACTCGACCATTTCAGAATCCAGGAACGAGCCTCATGATATTGAACGAAGATCACGAGAAAAGACACAGACCTCCGCCACTGTGAGATACTGCTATAACCAGAAATTTCAAGCTATCTTAATGAACAATTTCACTAGTATCAACCTACCACTGAAGATGGTAAACATTGTCCACCTACCGAACAGTAGAACCGGTGTCTCTTTTAACATTTTAAGAAATGCAACCGATTGATAAATGAAATCGGATTAATCATTTTAAACGTTTTCATAAATCTGCATGTATTGCTATTATATCATATTATAACAATATATTTCAGACCCTTACTCAGCAGGAACGAACCTTTCAACTGACAAAACAAAATGTGAACCCTTTGTAAACCTTTTTAGGCAGCTGTGAATAGTAAGTACAGGAAGTGACAAATATTCTTCTCGTTTAAATTTTTCTACAAACTGTTCAAGAATTATTATTTCATGAAATGTGATCATTTCTACTTTTACGTTCCGAACACGAAATGTGGTGTTTATCAAAAACTACATAATAACAGATTTTTGTCACTCGACCATTTCAGAATCCAGGAACGAGCCTCATGATATTGAAACGAAGATCACGAGAAAAGACACAGACCTCCGCCACTGTGAGATATTGCTGTAACCAAACATTTTAAGCTATCTTAATGAACAATTTGACTAGTAATAGTATCAACCTACCACTGAAGATGGTAAACATTGTACACAGTACACCGTACCGAACAGTAGAACTGGTGTCCCTGTTAACATTTTAAGAAATGCAACCGATTGATAAATAGAATCGGATTAATCATTTTAAACGTTTTCATAAATCTGCATTTATTGCTATTATATCATACTAGTGTAACCCGGCCTTCGGCCGGGATTTCACTGCCGCAGTTAAAAAGGGTAGGAGCATTTACCCGTTGAGTCAGAACCCGCATTAGGTGAGCAATTCTATTCGGAGTGCCCTCACGTATCCAATGGTATCTTAAACAATAGTAATAGTATCTTAAACAATAATCAATAGAAATTAACCCTTAACACCACACCCGCCTATCATATTTGTGAACACGCATAACATTGTCGTATGGAAGTGTGAACTCTCTCTCTGCAGTCCAAACAGTGCCCCCTCCCCTAATGAGATTATAGTATAGACAGCGAATCTTACCCGGGTAACTCAATTACACTAATTATGCAGCTACATATATATATACATATCACCGGAGACTCGCGGGCGGAACAAAATATTGCACGCGCACGCGCGTGCAATATTTCATATGTCCCCGAGGGCGCTAGCCCGAGGAGGACATATTTTCGTATAGCACGGAGGGCCCATCGGGCCCGAGTGCTATACGATTTTTCCGCCCGCGGGTCGAGGTGATGTGGATTATATCCACCAGCGTGAGCTTTTTCTTACAGATATTAGTTTTTACTTTAGTTTCTTCAAGAGATCCGTTTTTAATTTAGTTTCACTTTTACTTTCAACATGTTTCTAATACGATAGTTCCGCCCTCGAGGCGAGGAATGATATCGTGTATATCCATCAGCGGGTGTTTATCACGAAGCTTCAGTTTGCAACAATCACAGCAAATTAATGTACAAGATTTCAGAAAAGTTACGAAAAAATCATGTTGCTTTTGGTTTAAGATGTAAAACATGCCAAAATGACTGACTATAGAACGAAAAACCGGCTGCTATCAAACAATGTTTCAGCTCATTGTTTCAGGTACATATTTTAATGTGAACGATCAAAATATAGGCCTCTCTCCTTCTCTCCCTCTCTCCCTCTATCCCTCTATCCCTCTCTCACTCTCTCTCTATCTTCCTTTCTCCTTCTCCCACTCTCCTTACGTCCCTCTCTCCCTCTATCCCTCTCTCTTTATCTCCCTCTCTCCTCCTCTCCCTCTCTTTCTCTCCTACTCTTCCTCTATACTTCTCTACCTCTCTCCCCTCTCCCTCCCTGGAACCAGAACAAGCACCACCAGTCGCCACAGAGCCCTCTACTACCAAGTTAGTTGTCATTATCATGTCAGTTACCTGGGTAACCAGGGTTACCCGGGTAACCAGTTACTACAGTTTCTGTAGCAGCTACTGAGTGGCTGGACACTTAAAAGTAGTAACCCAGAGAGCTCGAGATCACAGTCTGATCATGGACATTTAATATGAAAGTTAAAGATCAAATTCATAACATCAATTTAAATGGCAGTTTCAAAACAAAAACAGGGCAAAATATCTTTCGGGAACACAATAGAATAACACGTAAAATTTCGGCCTACATTTCAAGATTTATCGACTGAACTAGTGAAATGAAAATGGTAAACACAGCTGAAATGGTAAACACAAAACAATTATCGATACTATAATAGAGATCACCGGCTTAGAATTTAGTCTGGACGTCTCCACGAATTTGGTAACCATAGTAACAGTGTGTCAGTGTCACGTGTTAATTATGAGCCAATCATGGCAAACTGCGTGACAACTGATATAGCGTCCGATAGAGGGTGAGCTCAGAGTTTACAGTTAATACATTCTTTACATCCACTGCATATTGCCGTGGGAATTTAGAAACAGAAACTACACTAATTAGCTCACTGTACGATTATTGCAATTGAATTCATCGTTAATGAATTAAACCGGTTTCAACTATAGTTCTAAGTAACTTGTAAGTTGTTGTCTTATGGAATTTCACATGGAGACGATACAGAAACTGAAAATATTTTAGAGAACTCCGGGCTATATTGCTACTGGTCAAATTAAATGTCACTTGTTAGCGGGCTATATCATGAGCGGGCTGTAGAGATATCGGGCCCTTTGACAGCGGGCTGGTGAGAGCCCGCTATACGAAAAAGCGCACGCTGGTGGATATATATGCGAGCCCCGTAACTCTTACCGTTCTGCTCAAGCCATATTATGTAACATTTGTGGTACAAAACCATCAATTAAACCACCTACCAACGACCGATTTAAAAAACCTTTATCATTTAACTTCGTCAGAGTTTTGTCGGCACTTTACCGAAAAAATCAGTCCCGCAACTCTTACCGTTTTCTTGATTAAGCCGCTCGGAAATTACAAACAGACAGACAGACACACATTCTGGGATTATAAGTTAGATTATAACAATTTATTTCAGACCCTTACTCAGCAGGAACGAACCTTTCAACTGACAAAACAAAATGTGAACCCTTTGTAAACCTTTTTAGACAGCTGTGAATAGTAAGTACAAGAAGTGAAAAATATTCTTCTCGTTTAAGTTTTTCTACAAACTGTTCAAGAATTATTATTTCATGAAATGTGATCATTTCTACTTTTACGTTCCGAACACGAAATGTGGTGTTCACCAAAAACTACATAATAACAGATTTTTGTCACTCGACCATTTCAGAATCCAGGAACGAGCCTCATGATATTGAAACGAAGATCACGAGAAAAGACACAGACCTCCGCCACTGTGAGATATTGCTGTAACCAGACATTTTAAGCTATCTTAATGAACAATTTGACTAGTAATAGTATCAACCTACCACTGAAGATGGTAAACATTGTACACCGTACCGAACAGTAGAACTGGTGTCCCTGTTAACATTTTAAGAAATGCAACCGATTGATAAATGGAATCGGATTAATCATTTTAAACGTTTTCATAAATCTGATTCTGCATGTATTGCTATTATATCATATTATAACAATATATTTCAGACCCTTACTCAGCAGGAACGAACCTTTCAACTGACAAAACAAAATGTGAACCCTTTGTAAACCTTTTTAGGCAGCTGTGAATAGTAAGTACAAGAAGTGAAAATATTCTTCTCGTTTAAATTTTTCTACAAACTGTTCAATCACTATCCAATAATTATTATTTCATGAAATGTGATACCTTACAAGACATATGTATAACGTACGAAATGTGGCGGTTTTCCGAAAATTTCGCCATATTTTCGGACCGCCAAAATTTCGGTCGTCGTAATAGAATCCCTCGCATTATCTTTTAGCTTATTTCAATGACTGTGCCCTCACTGCTTTATTTTGTTTCTAAAAAGTAATATCAAGTAAAATAAATAAATAAATTCTGGCATCTTGGGACAAATTATCATCACACCAATGACGAATTGAATGTCAAGCAATACAGTTTAAATTTGCATTAAAATACATGTATGTACTAACATGAAAGTCTTACAGTCTTAATACAGACTAAGTTTGAACATGATTTTACCGAATTTCAGGAATTTCCTTACTGCTTACTGTCACAAAAAATGATGAAAAATACCCTTATTTTCTGTGACGTCCGAAATTTGACGGTTTTTGTTCAATTTCGCCATATTTTCGGACCGCCAAAATTTCGGTCGTCGCAAATTAGGCCGCCATAAATATGTCTTGTAAGGTAATTTCTACTTTTACGTTTCAAACACGAACTGTGGTGTTTAAAGTGCTTACAAAAGACTATTATATATAATACCAGATTTTTGTCACTTGACCATTTCAGAATCCAGGAACGAGCCTCATGATATTGAAACGAAAATCACGAGAAAAGACACAGACCTCCGCCACTGTGAGATACTGCTGTAACCAAACATTTCAAGCTATCTTAATGAACAATTTCACTAGTATCAACCTACCACTGAAGATGGTAAACATTGTACACCTCACCTAACAGTAGAACCGATGTCTCTTTTAACATTTTAAGAAATGCAACCGATTGATAAATGGAATCGGATTTTTTTGAGAGATAACTTTAAATCATTTTGAACGTTTTTATAAATCGGTATTCACCGAGAAATTTAGAGATTTATTTTGAAATTTAAAAAATAAATGTTGTGTGAAGTGTGATTATTTTTCTTTAAGGTGTATATTATTACTTTTCATTTTTAACTGATGTTTTTTGAAATAAGAAATTTAATTAAATTTTACTTTACAATTTACATTACTTTTTAAAGTATTAATTTATAAGCACATAGTTGTATTACTTTTGACTTTTCAGTTTTACATTACTTCGTTAGCAATGACTATGATTTGTTTCAAACAGGTGCAATAGTTAAATGTGTAATCTCACAACTCTCTTTTGAATAAAAAATTTCATCAAGGCCATAAAATAATACATCATATATATATATAATAATAAATAAATAAATAATTGAACAAGGTACTGTAAGTGCTTCTAAACTCATCATTTAAACAAAATGTCACTATAAGACCCAAAACTAGTGGCTCATGACATGAACTTATTGGCAAACACTAAAGAGTGAGAAAATATTCTGTATAAATCATAACTGGCAGAAATCGGCCACAATATTACATAATCTTCTATTTGATAATCTCAACGAGATTATTATGCTAATTATGTTTAATTTACTAATTTTGCTAATTATAATAATTTTGCTAATTACAATGATTTTGTTAGTTATACTAATTTTACTAATTATAATAATTTTGCTAACTATACTAATTTTGCTAATTATACTAATTTTGCTAATTATACTAATTTTGCTAATTATACTAATTGTTCTAATTATACTAATTTTGCTAATTATGTTAATTTTGATAATTATATTAATTTTGATAATTATATTAATTCTGATAATTTAACTAAATATGCTAATTATATTAATTATACTAAATTAACTAATTATACTAATTATACATATCATATATAATTACAATTTCTCTTTCTCTCTCTCTGCCACTATACTATTACCATAACTATAAGAACGGCGTTTTAGTTTTACTAAGTGACGTCAGGCGTGTTTTATAAATTTACTGAATCATGTTTCGTTTGCTGTTAGTGCCATGCTACATAATAATATTACCATGCATATTATATATAATATACTGGTATATACATGACAGTATAATATATATATATATACTGTTATACAGATACTACTGTTACTCAGTAACTAGTTACTGGGCGGTGCTCAGCCTGTCATTCCGCCTAATCTCTATTCGGATATGATTATGAACATAAATATAATAGCCTGGGGTCCCCAGGTAAGTGCTAGTACTGCTGCAAAGTCTGCCACCTCCTTCTAAAAATAAGCTGTAAGCATATGAACAAGATTTATTTTGTTTGTTGATTCATGTGCAAAATTAAATCAAGAGTCGAGTTCAAATGAAATAAAAATTGCGCGTATTATAATTAATATACAGTATACGATCCAAAATATATTAGTGTTACGAATGACGAATTTGTAATTGTCTAAATTAAAAATACTTGCATGACTGCATAATTGATAGCGCTAACAGTAATAGTACAATTGCGGTGCTGAATATAAGCGCGGGAAATCTAAAAATAAGGACTCTCATCGAAAATATTTTCAAAAGTTAATCATATAAACATATTTCACCGAAACCCATAATTGGGTAAAGTGGACCGCTGCCATGTGCCAGTGACTCTCTTTCCCAAACAAACTTACTTGTACTTGAAAAGGTCTCCTCCTAGTCGTTGGAGTGGCCTGCACCACATAGTAACTCCTTTCTCTGGTGTATTAGACCTCTCCAGTGAACCCTGTCTGTAGCTTGTTGTTCTGCATCTTCTATCGTGATGTTATCGACACCTGTGAAGATTGCTGCATCCTCCCGGACACATGACAACCAGTTTTTCCGAGGTCTACCTCTTGACCTTTCACCATGCTTTGGGATCCAGTGCAGAAGATAGTTGGGTATTCTTTCTTCTGGCATCCTCACCACATGGCCAAACCATCGGAGTCTAGCTGCTCGTACGAAAGTATCAACAGGGGCGATGTTAGCCCGCTTAACAGGATTCTCCTGAGACATCTATGATGGAACACCTCAAATCTTTTCATCTGCGTCTGTGTGGTATTCCATACCTCACTTCCATAAAGTAGTATAGTGAGAACAGCCGCTTTGTAAATCCTTATTTTAGTTGGAGTCTTGATGTTGCGACTGTACCATATACTGCTAAGGTGATAGAATGCCCCAGAGGCCTTTTGAATTCGAGCTGATAGTTTTTTGTCAATTGTTCCATTCGCACTGATGATTGCACCCAAGTAAGTGAAATTGCTGACCTGCTGTATTGGGAGACCTTCCACATTGATGTCCATAGTGTCGTCTTTAGAATACGGCCTCTGCGATGCACTTTTGCTGACCACCATGCTCTGTGTTTTGCCAGCATTAATCTTCAGACCCGCATAGGCACTGTATTTGCAGAGAAGGTCAGTGGTTTCCTGCAGCCCCTCTTTTGAGTTATCAGCGTAATCAGTATCCAAGAGGTGTTTCTCTTCTACCCCGGGGGCTGGCAGCTGTAATAAAGCCCCCTTGCTAATGACCTTGTTCAGTTCCATAAGGTATGCCGAAAAATTCAAACAAAAGTTGAAGACTGGTGGTCCCTGTATATCACCTTGCCCAGTACCCGAGTTGACATCAAACCAACCTGTAACCTCTCCATTGACCTTAACAGCACTAACTGTGTGAGTGAAGAACGCCTTCATAATTCTAATGTACTTGTCAAGTAAGCCGTAGTGCTGCATACTTCTCCAAATGAACTGCCTGTCAATCGAATCAAAAGCTGCTTTGAAATCAACAAAATTAATATACAGAGGGATATTATACTCAATGCATTGGTGTATAATACAGCGGAGTGAATAAACCTGGTCAATACATGAGCGATTCTGTCTAAAACCACTTTGATTCTGCCGGAGAAATTTGTCCATGCCATTGCTAAGTCTCCGCAGGAGTATCATCTGCAGGAGCTTCGAGGCTGTGGATCTTAATGTAATGCCTCTGTTGTTAGCGCAATGAGAGGTGTCACCTTTCTTACCAACGATAATAATAACACCTTTGGACCAATCCTCAGGAATCTTCTCATCTTCCCACACTTTCTTGAACAACACAACTAGTTGATCGACCAACCCATCCTGTCCATACTTAAGTTGCTCGCTGGTGATACCATCCGAGTCGGAAAGGTCGTCAAAACTGGGTTGCGGAGGGATGTTGTCTAGGTCAGAAATATTGGCCTCTTGCGGGGGAGGGTTCAATAGCCTAGAGAAGTGCTCTTTCCACCTTTCTTTCTGGGCATGTGGGTGGGCAATCAGCTGGCCAGATACGTATCTAACTGCAGTTGATTGCTTCTTCTTCTTTCCAGATATGACATTGATCTTCTGCCATACCTCACGTTGCTGACCTTTTCTCGCAGCTTCTTCCAAGTCATTGGCCATTCTACGTGCCCAGTTGTTATCGTCCACCTTACTACTTTTTTTAAAGAGCTTATTCAATCTAGCATACTCTGACCTGTTAGCGTTCGAATTAGGGTCTTTACGCTTAAATTCCTTACGGTTCTTCAATAATTCTTTTGTCTTCTGAGATTGGTGCCTGTCCTTCTTTTTTCGAGGTCTTTCACCAAGAATTTCCATGGAAACTTGTTGGACAGTTTTCTTGAAGTTGTCCCACATTGATTCCAGGTCAACCTCAGGTTCCAAACAGTCAAATGAACAAAAGGAAATGATATTAATTTGAATGACCGTCCGCAAATATAATGCAAAATCAAAATGATACCGAGAATGAAATCGGTCGCTTACTTTTCCCATTCATTCACGGCTTACGAATCGTAATAACATAAAAGAATAAGTTTCGATTAATTGCATCAATCACTGATCACATGCTGTAAAAATCACTTTGGCATTTGGGTTGCTTTCGGGTCGATTATCGATACCTAGTATTTCGGATGCCAACCTAGATGACCTCGATGGTGTGCCCTCACAACTGAGTTTTGACTACCTTTCTTGTTCTGATGGACCTCCTTCTAGAGATGAGATTAGTTATGCTCTAAAGAAATTGAAAAACTGCAAAAGTGCGGGGGTTGATGAGATAACTAATGAGCAACTTAAGTATGGTGGAAGTCTCTTGTTGGCCAACTAGAGCTACTGTTTAAAAAGGTATGGGAAGAAGAGGTGATCCCTATTCCCTGAGGATTGGCTTAAAGGGGTTATAGTGGTTATCGGAAAGAAGGGAGACACCTCATACTGCTGCAATAATAGGGTTATAACTCTTAGGGCAACGTCTTTTAAGGTTCTTCAAATAGTTCTTCTTAAGAGGCTGGATGTTGGAATGGAGTATCTTCTTAGGGAAAATCAGTGTGGGTTCAGACGGAACCGCTCATGTATTGATCAGATTTATTCCATCCGCACCATTATATTTATTCATAACTGTATTGAGTTTAACATTCCACTTTATGTTAATTTCATTGATTTTAAGGCAGCGTTTGATTTCATCAGAAGAAAGTTTATTTGGTCAAGCATGAGACACTATGGGCTTCCTGAGAAATATGTTAGAATCTGTCAGGCATTTTTCAACGGAACCATGAGTGCAGTCAGGGTTAAACTTAATGGTGAAATGTCTGATTGGTTCACTGTCAATTCAGGCACTGGACAGGGTGATATCCAGGGCCCTCCTATATTTAATTTTTGTCTGAACTTTGGAATCTTTTTGGCCGATGTTCACAAGGCAATCAGTCATGGTGCTGTACTGCAAAAGGAACTGAAGCGTGCAGATGAAAAAGTTATCATGGATAGTCACTACGCTGATGATCTGGCAGTGATGGACAATACTGAAGCTTCGAAGAAGGGCTGCAAGAGTCCACTGATCTTATCGCTT